ATAGTAAAAGGTATTTCAGAGAATTACATATTTTCACATCAGCAAAACGCTATCTTTTATCGCTTATAATTTTGTGCATCCTAGCAAAAAAGCTTGAGGTTTTCTTCGGGAAACATACAGATCTAGTTATCTGTTGCTGTGTTATCTCTCGGCCTGTGAGACTGGGTCAGCACAAGAGAGAGAGAGAGAGAGAGAGAGAGAGAGAGAGAGAGAGAGAGAGAGAGAGAGAGAGAGAGAGAGAGAGAGAGAGAGGACTTTCCATACTCAAGATATAAACTATACACACACACACACACACACACACACACAAACAGTTGAACAGTGTGTTCATGCTCTGCTGTCTATTCGGAGATAAAGCACTTGTACAGATTAGCCAACATCTGTCTGTTGTCCACTGCAAGCACTGTTACTACAGTAAAACCCCAGCGGATACAGTTTCAGCAGTAAATGTTCGGTAAAACATCAGTGCTGTCTGACAAAATCCCACAAGATCCCATCAGACACTCTTATAATCAGTGCGAGACTCGGGATCAGACATCCGCGCTCCTCCCTGCTGCTCTCTGTTGATCATTAGATGACTGTGTGTTTGCTCAGTGTTTCTCACAGCTGGGCAGTCTGGCGCACACACACACACATTCACCTGGCCGACTGAGATAACGGCAGATCGCTGATGTCTGTGGGATGTCTTGTGAGTTTTGGTTCAGATTCAGAGAAGAATTAAATTAAATACATGAAATATATTTGATAATCTCTAATAAAAAGATATATAATGAAAATAGAAAATGCATCATTTAAAATAATTAAACAAACTAGAAATGAGCAACGCTGGCTTATGTAAGCATAGTGTTGCTTGGTGCTTAATTATATAAAAATAAATATGTTTGGTTGTTTTGTTGCACAATGTTTGTTTGGTGTGTTAAATGAATAAAACTATTAAGCTAAAATATACAGAAGAGAATGACAAACCTCATTTCTTTTATTTTTTATTTTTTGCTTAGAGCAAAGCAAAGAGTGCTCATATTTACAGTACTAATATTATTAATATACCAATCCTGTTTTCTAAGCTAATCAATCGGCATCAAACCTCCCACAGAGTTACACGGGCAACTGCTAACGGTGACTGTCTAGTGCCAAAGTGTAAGACCTCGTTTGGTCAATCGGTCTTCTCTGTAAAGGGAGCCAAACTGTGGAATGAGTTACCGGTTAGCTTAAAATCAGAAAGTAATGTAAATATTTTTAGTAGTGCTCTTAAAAGTGGCTAAAAACAAAACAGCAGTGTTTACACAAATAGTCTACTGTTAGTTGGTTGGATCATGTCGCCTTTGCTTTTGCCTGCAGTAATTTTATGTAAAGAATTGTAATGTTGTGTATGTTTTATTATATTTCTATTTTGTCAATATTAAGCCTCCTGTGGACAGGTGTTGAAAATTAGCAAGTTTGCTAAAACACTTAAACAAATGCATTTGGTTGTCCAGTGTAATTGTGATGTCCATGTCAAATAAATATATAAATTAAATTAATAATAATAGCCAATGTCAATTATGACCAGCATATTCCTTGCATTATTAACCCATAAACCAAAAGTAGAGTGTATGACTTAAACAGATTATTAATAGCATTATTAAGCGTATTAAGGAGCGACTGCACTATAATTAGCTAACAAGCAGATGCAGATGAATGAACGAATGAATGAATGAATGAATGAATCAGGGTTTCTGCAGGTTTCACAGTGTCAAATTTAAGACTTTTTAAGACCTTTTTAAGACCATAATGAATGAAATGTCAGACTTATACAGGACTTCTTATATTATATTATATAATAATTAGTTACTTCTTTATTAATTCATTCATTCATTCATTCAAAATTATTATTTATGTTTTATAAACCTTTATATATACCTTATATATTTATATACACCTTAATTTATATACACCTTAATATAAACCGAAATAAAACAAATAAGACTTTCTCCAGAAGAAAAAACAATACTATCAGACATACTGTGAAAATTTCCTGAATCTGTTAGACCTCATTTGGGAAATATTTGAAAAAAAAAACACTCAAAGGGGGGCTAATAATTCTGACTTCAACTATCTAATAACTGTAAAAACGATTAGCTAGTTTTAGTTTAAAGGGCACCCATGGTGAAAACAGACAGACGTGTGTAAGTTTAATGTACAGACCATCATATTGAAGTGATATAAACACACCCAGTCCTTTTTTTCCAATTTAACAACATAAAAACGGTGGACCATTTGGAGCGGTTTTTAGATCGACCGCAACGTGATGTAGGAGAAAGCGGCAGCGTCTTTCAAATCTGCGGTGAGGACCAGGGCCGGCCCGTGGCATATAGGCACATGCTAAGGGCTCTTTACATCCAGGGGGGCGCCAAAAATGAGAGCGGTTAAGCTGGTTTTGTGATCGATATTCCTGACACATTCAGTGATAGATGGCAATAACTCAAAAACCTCTTACCCTAAAAAGATCTAAAGTGTGTTTCCTACAAAAAGACAAAGCTGGTTATGTTTCACAGCTGTCTTTCTTTTTCTTTTTGCTTGATATTTATATATATATATATATATTTATATATTAATATATACATATTGCATATGTAAGGACTATTGTGTGCGTGATCATGTGGATATATGCTTATATTTTGTGTACATGAATGCTTTTATCCGAGTATATGTGACAAGTTTATGTGGTCTATTTTAATGCTTTTTTGTTGTTGTTTGTGAGGCACTTTGAGTTGCATGTATTTTGGAAAAGTGCTATACATATAAAACGTATTATTATTATTATTATAAAGTTAAGGTAACTAATAACTAATAACTTCTCTGATTGTGATTGTAATGCAGTAATGTACACCTTATATAAAGCTGCTTTGAAAGTGTAATTATTATGAAAAGCCCTATACAAATACACTTGAGTTCAATTGAACATGAGATGTTTCCTGTTAAACATTGAGTGTTTGTTTTGTGTTCCGGTTTTGTTTGCTAGTGTGCAAACTGCCAGTGAATCATTTCACACACAAGCCTCAGGTGTTACCCAGCATGCACCTGTGCACCACGTTGGTTCTGTCATCAACCTAAATAAATGTGTCGAGCAGGAGTTGTGTGGGTGAGAAGTGTTTGCTTTTCATCCTGAGCCATAAGAGGAGTTGACAGGAACAAGAGCTGTGAAGGGTCTGCGTGTGTTTACCATTGTTTATTTCACTGCAATAATATGTACAGCTGAAATCAAAATAACATTAAAAAAAAATCCCAAATGATGTTTAACATTTCAGGAAATTTTCATATATATGTATATATATATATACACACACAAATATATACATATACATGTATATATATATATATATATATATATATATATATATATATATATACACACATTATATACATACATACATATATATATATATATATATATATATATATATACAT